CTAAATATCATGCTGCTTCCATAGTACAAATTATCTATATATTAATATTAACAATTTAATTGTTGATATCATGATGACGACAGACCGTAGTCTGTAAGAAAAAATTACTTTAAAAAAACGTATTCATTATACCAAAATGCATATTTTTCGGAAGAAACATCATATGGGAGCAGAACGTGCGCCGCGAGAAAGCTTAGATAGAAGACGGTGCGGTGCGCCTCGGAATAGATATGTTAGCGAAGTAATTATAGTAGTAGTAGTATTAAGGAAAAATTAACCAAATGCTGAAAAAAAAAGATCATCGCGAAAAACGGTCTTTAAGTGTACCAGCATACTAAATTACAACTTAATGTTGAAGACAATCAGTTATAATAATGTTTCTCACTATTGGGAAGAAAGAATAAAAATTATTAAGAATTATAATTACTATTGTAATTATTATTATTATTATTATTATTTATTTATTAAGAATTTATTTTAAAAAATCGGTACATCATACATAGACTAACATTTCTCAAGGGAAACATTTTTTGACAATATGCAACTAATTTTGCACACGATTACGCGATTATAACTCAGAAACCATTGACAACACTAACTTGAATTGGCAAATTACTATTTTTTCGAGAGAATATTCTTTATTTGAACCGTTTCGTCTTACCCCTATTTACTACTATATACCACACTCTATTTGAACCGTTTCGTCGTACCACTAAAATTCATTTCATTCGGTACTAAAATATTTTGGGGAAAAACGGTTGGAGACAAAGGGTAAATGTCTCTAAATTCTCTCTTTTTCTCTTGAAGGACGACCGTGTGAAATAGAGGAGATATCTCTATCTTCAGATTCACCGGCATTTACCAGCGCTGCTTGCGCATTTGCCCAATACTTATTGTTTTTACCAAGAGGGTACCCGTACCCCAGGAGATCAGGCGTAAACAAAATACGTTCTGTCGTTGAGGTGATGAGTACTCTTTCATGAATCTGTTGCTGAGTGATAATTTCTGTGAATAATTTACCAATTTTGTGCTGAAAAAAGACGTTTATACGCATTTCATAGAAATAAGTGTAGTGAAGTTCTTTTGGTAAAAAGAAGTAGAAGACGATGGCAAGTAAGTGAAACGTTTGAATTTTGTGGACTTCGATTGTTCTGGGTTCATTTTCTATTGAACTAGTTTTCCCTACATTCGCCGGCGAAGGGGGATCGAAAGAGAGACAGTTCGTATGTATTGGCGATTAATTCATGATCAGTTTTTCCCCATAATGCTCACTCAGTGAAAAAGAATAATGATAAGTCTGGACAACCGTGAATTTATTGCTAGAACTTAACATTAACTCCCTGGTAAATTGCAAGTTTCATCGTGGATTAGTTTCTTCGGCGTCCATTGGATTCAATCCTACGATATTCATATTATGCAATTTTTACGCTGATTAAATCATCAGCAGTCAGCATCACTGTTTGTTTGTCGCGTTGTCACTTTTCGCGGATTACACATTACAGTACAAAAACGATCACTAACTAAAATAGTGAATATTTAGTAATCTCAATAAAATACCCAACTGTGTCGGCACATGTTTCATTGAAGATTATTTCCATGTTTTCATGTGCGTAATCAATTTTATATTAATAAAAATATCCATAGTATCGTAACCCCCATCGTTTACTGTTGAATATATTTCAATAACCAAAACATATTTGATTATTGCCAAGATAAATAAACGGAAATTCAATGATATTTACAATGATAAAGCTTGCCAATGAAGATAAAAAAATTGGCTAAGTATCATGACATTGCTTGCCCAGTTCCGCTAAAATAATTATTCGTTTTATTAATATCCAGGCCAGAGGGCAACAAGATCTACAAGAAACCATCGCCCACTTCGGTACAGAGACGGGGCTGATGAAGCGACTTTAGTGGGGGGCTGCGCTTCCCCAAAATCGAAAAGAAAGAGGAGTAGTAAAAGCTCGACTTCTACTTCGCAGGTCAGTTAACCACAGTCTCATGATAGTATAATTAATAATCCCTAAACCGTAATGAAGTTTGCACCTTCAAAGAAAAGAAGGATTGTTTGGGGGACATAAAGAAATGGAAAGTCGTTTATCAGAATTCAAATTAAACTATTTTCATACGACTTATAATTATTTGCATATAAATCGAATTTTTTAATTAATATTCTCTTCAAACCTTGTGATTGGCCCTCTCTGAGTCGTGTCGCCTAAAGCACTTCCTTCTTTGGCGTAAATTTGTAAAGGTGGAATAGTATAATTTGTTTGTATTTTGGAAACGAAAATTAGGCATGGTATGCTCCACTGAAATATTTATTTATTGGATGCGATTTTTATATCCGAACGATCCTACAAAAACAAAATTCAATTCTAGAATCTGCCAACTTTAGTCGTGTCTCGTCCCGCCTTAAAACTTCATTTTTCCATATCACACCATTACCATACTCAATGCAATGAGCATGAACGCAATTACGAGAAGGAAGAGTAATATTTTTTCTTCCAAACATTGCTTATGGATTACCAACTAATAAATGGTCACTAATAACATGCACCATTACTTCGGTGCATATTGGTCAACTGGTTTATATTCAATGAGAATTTTTTGAAAATATCCCGATGACGATGTTATCGAAATAATCATGTATAAAGCTTCCTTATGAAACAATAAATCAATACCATCTTCTCCCTACTCATATGAAACCAATGCGCCTCAATTGAGCAACCAATTTTCTCCCTTCAACTCTTGCTTTTTACACTAAGAGGAAAGTAGGGAGAAAATTGGAGTGCTTGCAGTACGGGAATAGATTATTATCGAAAAAACAGAAAAATTCTGGATGTCCACCGGAAACTTTTTCCAAAGTTACAGAGTTTTCACCTTGAAGCATAAGAAAAATCCAAGTAGTCGAACTGAAAAATTTTTGGATCAGTAAATTTTGTGCGGAATTTCATAACATTTGTTGTAGAGTTGGAGTAGCTGTTCTAGTAGCGACCCTAGAATTTTTTTCTCATCCTTCTTCATGTGTAATAAACAAAATCCAAGTGAAAATTACTATACTATCAAATACTTTTTGTTTTACGGGCATAAAAAAATTTTCATAATGTAATTGAAATTTTCATCGTGCCTATTAAGAACCAAGTGAAAGAAAAGGAGGTCTTGAAAAGTATATGAGGGTAAATGCCCGAGCCAACCGACATGGAAAAAATGTATCTACGGAAATATCTTTCAATTATATCTGGACATATGTCGCATACACTTCGGTAAAAAAATAAATATACACGGAAAACACTCACCGAAAAACTACTTGATTTAAAACATCAATTATGAGTTGTACGTCGTAAAATACGCGGTCCAACCGTGTACTCAATTTACGCTCTTTTTGACGTCATTTACGAGATCTCAATGCCGTAAAATTCCAGATTGAAATTGCCACTGCAACGATAGATATCCAAAAAAAATTTTTTATGCCACATCAAATCTTCAAGTTTGAGGATATTCTGAGTGATCTGAATATGACTTTCAGAGACATTATGTCAAAAATTTTCAAGAAGAATTTTGAAAATTGAAAATTTTCGAAATTTGATATTTAGGAAAACATCGCAGAAAGTATGGAAGATGACGAATTCTGGAAAAAATAATTGGTCATCTTTCATGTCCGCGAAGTTTTCCAAATGTTTACAAATTTTTTAAATTTCCACTTGGAACAATTTTGAAAAACTGTCACCGAAAGTTCTATGAAGATGAAAATCATCAAACTTGAATATGGCATGTCGCGCAAAAAAGTTTGTTTTATATCTACCGTGGCAATTTCGATCTTCAACTAAGATTTTATCAGACTGAACTCTCGTATATGACGAAAAAGGGAGCGTGAATTATGATGTCGGATGTTTTATTTTACGCGCTAAAAGTCGTAATTTACGACTTCAACATTATAATGTGGGTTTCTTCAACTCATTATTTACGTACTCAATCTTGAAATTTCCGAGATCAGAAATCTCATAATCGTATATTGCGCAACAAGTGCGTAATAGATTGTTTGGCGAAGGCGAGTTTTATAATGGGGAGTTTTATTTGGGGAGTAAAATAGAACTTTCGTGTAAGTATGACCGAATATTATTTTCCGGCTTCATTTTTCTCGGAATTCAATTTCTTACCGGACGAAACAATGGATTATTCACATATTGGAGCCCGGGGCTAATAGAGTGGGAGAACCAAAAGATACGTGAAAAAAGCAATTTAGGAGAGGTGCGAGTATAACGAGATTCTTTTGTATAACTTTGTTTGGCGCCTATGGAAAAAAATTAGTATCCTCTTTAATTAAATTCGTATATATATGAAACATTCCATGTCATCTCGTGGGGTTTCAACCCTCATGGTTTCAGATTTGTTTTTAAATTCGTCCATCCACGAATTACATAAATGTAACACCTCGTATTAGTTCGTTTTGATTTTTACTAACGTGTTTTAACGTGTTTTGTAAAAGTATCGTAATGATGATGAATTATAAAATTTCTATATTTTTTAATTTCTCCACCTAAAAACTGTCTTTTTTGTTAACAATTTTTATTGTAACTCAGCACTGGAAGCCGTAAATCACGTTTCAAAAAAAAAGTTTCAAATTCGGATGAGGCCAAACGCGTCATTAAAATCAAAAAAATAATACGGGGTGTTATATTTACCTGGTGAATGGATGAATTTGCAAACAAATAAACAACCATGAGAGTTGAAAGCTCACGAGTTACATGATAATAGGGATAATGAGAAATGTAAACGGAAATAACTAAAAACTCAACAAAACAAAATGAAAAAATCATATCTACTTTCTGCTCTTAAATCTTCATTTACATTCTACCGTCAATATAGCTTTCAAGCAGACTTTGTTCCTAAGAAAATTGTTAGATCCAATATTTAATCAAACAATTCGTTATATTTAGGGCAAAGAATGGCACGAAAAAGCGAGACAGTCATCAAATTTGACTCTGATCCCCGAAATGATGAACTCCAAGGTAGGATATTGATTTATAAATGCGTCACATATTCCATGTATTTGATAAATATCAGTAATCTAAAAAATGCTTCATTTGACCAGGATGATGATACAACTGGACTTGTACTCTCCTCCTTAGTGAGTCCTACAACATCTACACCTCTCGAATCAACTCAGCCGCCAACCAAAGAAAATATGGAGGATGGTTCAACTGAGAAAAATGTAGAGGATGCCAATGTAGAGGTAAGGCACGCTCAACGACGACTATATCAAGTTGAATATAGACGTCACTGTTGAAAAGTTGCGTGTATTTAGTATTTTTAATTTTCGATGTCAATTTTTTTTTTAATTTTTAAAACATGAAAAAAATGAAATCGCCCGATTGGTTTTCTCAACTTCATCATTTTACATGTAATATCCTTTCCTTTCCTCATAACTTCACCAGGAAATTAAAAAAAATGATCTTAAAGTACGGAGTATGAAAGATTCGAATCATTTTCAGTACAGAAAGGGAAAAGTTGTTTATAAGAATGCCTGAAAGTATGGAACATTTGATTTGGAAATTCATAATATCTAAAAATGTTGGAATCTCGTTGGAAGGTCTTAAACATTTTCCTGTCCTTCGAAAATGTAGAAAACCATTTTATTAATGGATTGAAAATTTGTATTTCTATTGAATTGTGATTGAAATCTCCCAGATGACCACCAATAATTATTTCACTCATTGCAAATCATTAAATATGTTCAAATTATATTGAAACATTATTCACATATGATTGATAGCTCAATTTTGAGGAGCCTCTCGATGACAGACTACCAGCTCCCCACCAAACCAACCCTGTTGGTTATGTCAGCATTGCTGAACATCGAAAATTGTTGGCTAAAGTGGATGACCTCACCTTCAAGTTCGATTCTTATGTAGCAAAATCTTGTGTTCAGCAACAACATCCTGTCGTAACCGTGAGTTAGATAATCATATCATAATTAGTAAAGTTTCACGTGAGGAAGGCACACGCCGATTTAACTCTCGGCGCAACTATTTTATTCACGATTCCTTCTAGTCAACGTTTTCTAGAGATCCAATTATACACTGAAAGTAAAGCATTTCCAAACAAATGTTTTCTGCCTAATAAGTGTACGAATAAAATGAATCTCTTTTAATAAATTAATGACGTCATAATCAAAAACGTTCGAACTAACGCAGCTCGTTTTCTTCAATTAAGAAGACATGAATACTTTTCCACGTATTACATCTTCATGAAATACCATCGAAGCCTTCTCTATGTTTCGAGATTTATGGCTTAGTCCAATCAACTGTAGCGTTAATATTACTAAAATGATGTTGACTTAGTTTCAATATTCTCCTAATTTCATAGCTCTTAGTAAACTCGTAGTAAATTGTTGCGTGGAATTTTCAAGTTTTTAAGTTCTAGCATCAGAGAAATTGTCATCAACTATAGTATAGTTACTATACAATTAGCAATGTTATATCCGTGGAGAATACCTGAGTAAAAACAATATGCATAATTTAACCAAATGTTTTAAAAGTCTTAGTTACTTATTATTGATTACGCAACTATTTCCATTTTAAAATACTTATTATTCACCTCTTCGCTGATATTAATGGGCTACAGATTTACTAAGACTGTCTGTGTAGTTCAAATGAATTACTCCACTGACTTATTAATATATCACATCTCGCCGCAATGTAAAAATCTATTTATCACGGAACAATTTTTCTTCAGAACATTTCAAAGAACAGAGTTATGCTAGGATATTGAAACACTGAGAAATTTTTTTTTTTAATTATCAGGATGTTCAGAAAGAAATTATCCAGTAAATTAAATTCATAATTCTATCGGAAAAATAATCTCTCGAATACCACACCAACTTCGAAATTTACTGTCATTGCCCTCAAGGTTCGCTGCGAACAAATAAAGTCATCAAGTTTTTCAGAAAAGATCAATCGTACTTTGCGTTCGTGATTTTGTAATCTGAAAAATTTGACTCCCTTCTTTGTTTGCAATAAACCTATCGGGAAATTATAGTATATTTCTAACCTAGGGAGGAAAAAAATCTCGCAAATACGATTGCGGAGAATGGTAATGATCTAGAAAATGTTTGAAAATATATTCCTTTATAAAATATGTATATATTGAATGACCTGATTTTCTATATTTATGTCTTTTTCAACAATCAAATATTCACAGACCGTTCTGAAAACCAGTGCTGGAAGGGAGTATGAACTGCAAAGTTTATTTTACGAAAGAGCTTGCCTTGCCCCTACTATGCAAGCAGTCGTCAAAAATATGGCGTTGGCATTGCTTTCGCCAGGAGAGTCGGGGCTTGCACTTTTCCGGTGTCGAGGTGAATTGGATGAAGAATTACCTCATGATTTTATCGTGAAATTGAAAGGTGGGTTCCTGTTATTAATATTTCCTATCTCGTTATATAAGCCTATACTAATATAAGCCTATCTCTATAATGTTGCATATATATATTTTTGTGGTGGTTGAATTCATGCGTTTTATTAAAACTTTATGTTTCAGCTGTGTGCAGAGCGGCACTGCGAAAAAAAGACCGTCATTCGAATAATCCAGCTTTGAGAATTATGAAGTGTGGCGAAAATGAAGCCGTTAAAAACAAAGGAAATGGTGGGCATAACAGTGGAATAAGCACAGCAACAATGTCTTTGGAGGAACGAAAGGTCCATTTTTCCGCATTGCTGACTCCTAGTCGACTGACCCATTGGGCATCGCTCGGCTTCGCCGATCATCGACGTTCTAAAAAAAGGACTCAATCTAGTCAATAAAAAAATAAAGTATATGAAGCTTAGAAAATGTTGAATTTTATGAATTCCTTTCCAATATCAGAAATTTTGACGTACGGTAGTCATGAAAGAGCTATACGAAAGCAGAATATTATTTTGGTAAACGAGGGAGTTAAAATGAAGGGCGAACTGAACGGCGCGGTTGGTAAGCACCTGGATAAAAAGGGCTTTTCATTTCACTTTCAATAGTTTGAATACCATTTTCAATTCTCGTGTTGGAGAGCAGTCCGCGAAACGGAAGTAAAGTCAGACTTTTCTCCTACGCTGAAACATAAACGCTTGTTACAACTACAGAAGGGGACATAATAGACCCTTCCAAGATTTGCAAGACGGACAAAATCGTAGAAGGTTGAAGTCCGTGGCCGTTCACTGGTTACCAATGAAATTTTGATAATTGATGAAAATTTTTCAGATTGAAATAATCGACAGCCACAATTTAAAATTTACATTTTGCCATTTTTAATTGAAAATTGTCAATTTAAAAACTTGTGATACAAAATTTGTTATTTTCATTTTCAATTATCAATGCGAAATTGGCGATTTTTCGTCTGCAGTTTACAATTTGTCTTTCCTGCTAGCAATCGAAAATTTGTCTTTTTTTTAGTAGAGATATAAAGTCATTTCTAGTTCGCCCGGATTTTGCGGGGCGACGCAACACCTAATAAGTGCGTAAGTGAAGTCAGCATAACTTTTTGTTTCGATTTTAAGAATCGAGCACATAATTTCAAGTGGTTACTACGTGGAGTGGGGGTACCCAGATGTGAAAACTTACACTGAGTTTATTATAGGCGACGTGGGCTTTACTCCCAGGTTTGTACGGACGAGCGTACAACAAAAGCTACCTGTTATTTTTCGTCTTATTGTCTTCATTAAATATCGAAAATAATTAAATGAAATACATAAATGAGGTAAGATGAATAGGAATGATGAGAATTAATACATTATTGTTGGAGACGATTGAAGATCTGTAATGTAAAATATGTTGCATTCCGATGAAATAAGTAGAACTTCAACTTTATTCTCGAAATCTCTATTAAATTGAAACGTAAACAGAGTTTCTGATCGAGGATATTTTCTTGTTGTGCTCACTTAGACTATTCAATTTAATCTGATCTGTTGAAGTTGCAAAGTTTTGGAGTTGGGGTCGTAGTGCAAAATCAGTGGGGGTGGAAGAAAGTAAAAGGAGAAAGGGCCCAAGGTGGTTGATTGGTTGGGCTGAAAGGATATGACCTGTGGGGGCTGGCTTCACCAGGTCAAGAAGGAAGTTGCCTAGGAGTGGGAATGGATTTATTGGGGGAAGACCCAAGCAAGGGGTTTTGAGAGAAAAACAGAGAAATCACTAGACTAGGGTCCAGGCAAATTAGGTCTAACATATGTGTTTCATAAAACCAAGACGCTTTTTATGCAGAAATGTGTATTTTGATCGTGTGATTAACGGGCAAGTAATTTTAAGTGGTTATAGTTTGTGCAATCCGAGAAAAAAATTTAAAACTACCCTCAAAAACGGTTTTTCGCGATTAACTTGCAAAGTACACTGGATACAGAAAAAAAGGTCAAATATAATTTGAAGAGCAAAATATTTCCGATAAAAAACATATGAAGCACTTCATCCCTATTTTGTACCGTTCAACCCCTACAGCCGTCCAAATGTACGATAGGAGAAAAAAATTGATAAAAAATGGAAAAAATTTTATTTTTCAATTTCAAATAATGGTAAAAAATATTAAAAAATATGAGTCATTATATTTTCATAACAACATAATTTAATTCAAAAAATTACTATGAAATAGGAAGAGTAACTTCTAATCCAATTGATGAAAAAAATTTTTTTTTCCTCCACAATTTTTATTCTTAAATATGAAACAAAGTTTATTTAAAACATTTTTATCCATCCCTTATATTTTAGAAGGCAGACGCGATTTTCCGATTCCACCCCTTAATTTATCTCCGCGCTGAGAACCTCTACTCCGGGAGTTCACTATATCTATATATATCGCAAGACTCTACTATATCTATATATATCGCATGCGTTGCCAGCTACTGTGACGTCACATTTACGCTGTGTTTGTGGGCGGAATGACAACATTGGATATTTCTAAGCCCGAAAATGATGGAAAGACCCGTGAAAGTCTTTTCGCCAGTTGCTCTGTCTCTTTCCCTCCCTACCTCTCTTTCTCTCTTCCTTACTCGCTTAAGCAAGGAAGATAGGCGAATGGTAAATGCTAAATAATAATAAGTGATGATTAATTCATTTATAATTGATAATTAATTATCATTTGTTAGATCATTATTGAGATTCGCACGAATAAATTTTCTATAACCATTTTTTAAAAATCATTAAATTACAATTGATAGGAAAATTAAAATAGTTTTTGATGAATAAATAAGTTCAATTATTAAATTTTTTTTCGCAAATATTTCATACTATTAAACCAATTTCATTTTTTTGGGAAATGTTCGTCTCATTGTACTCGACATAGATTATTTTATATTATAGAGCATTATTTTATAGAGCAGTTTTGGTAAAAAACAGAAAAATTGAAATATCTTGAAAAATTTGAACTAACCGGTATATATATTTTGATTGCTCCTTATAGCTAACATCAAGCCAAATACGTTGAGAGGGAAAATAATCATATCAGTTGCATAGTTTTTGAGATATTCCAGAAATTAGATCTAGAAACGAATGTGAATTTCTCAAAAACGGCTGGATTGATTGGGCTGAAATTTGGCACACAGTCGTCATTAATAACTATCATTTGACGAAATGACTAATTTTTCGGACTTTTTTGAGCCGGTTAATTCTACAATTTTCAAAAACGTGACCACAAAACGGACATCTACACATACACACGGGGTGATCAAACTTCTTATTTTTACGTTACAAACCGTTTACATCGTTTCGAAGCGAAATTAAGAAATCGAAAAATAGATCGATTACAATGCTTCCATTCGGAAACGAAAAGGAGTTAAATTGGCCCACTTCTTTTCAAGATATAAAATACATATCTTTTTATAGATATAACAGATCGAATATCACCGGAACTGCTGGGCTGATTGAGCCCGAATGAAATTAGAACCGTCGCTATCAAGAAATTAAAATGTTTCCAAAATTTCAAGTTGATATGTCCATTTTTGCGGAGGCTGGAGCGCGTACAACGATGTTCTGGAAAAAAACAGAAATGCGGAAATATCTTGAAAACTTTGTACCGACGGCTGTATAGATTTTGTTAGATCTAGGCACGGACCATCGAGACGGACATTTTAAAAGAAAAAATAGTTCAATCGGCCGACTAGTTTTCCAAATATTTACAAGAAACGTTTAAAAAAGAAAAGGCTTTTTCTCGGGAACTATTGGACTGATCGAGCGGATTCTACGGCCAGAGTTAGTCCAAAGTAGGATCTATAATTTGATAAAATTTCATATTTTTTAGAATTTTTTTTGTCCTCTTATTGTTGTATTTTCTAAAATTTAATTTCCAAAAATTGGCGCAAGGGGGGTGGGGGGACATACAGACATGGTCGCCAAACTTCGTATTTTTACGTTTCAGACCATTTCACATCAATTCCAAGGAAATTTATAAAATTCGAAAATCGAACGATTACAAAGCTTCCGTTCGGAAGCAATTTTTTTTGGATTCGTAAAAAAAAATTCAGAAATATACAGGGTGTCCCGAAAGTACATGCTAATCTTTTACCAGCATGTACAGGGGGTGATTCTGAGCTGCAAAGTCCTTTTCTACTTTTGGATCAGAAGCA